TTGAAAATATAGGTTTTATAGGTTGCTTTTGAACTCATAAAGCCAACCAAGTTACATTGGGTCAACCCTCACACAATTTAATTTTTTTTATTAGAAAAAAATATTTATAATATCTAAATAATTTTTTTTACATTTAATAAAAAATTAACCCTACCCATAGTGTAAAACGAGTCTATGATCTAGTATATCACTATAATATGTTATAAATAAAAGTAAAAGGTGCAGGGGAAAACACTCTTTCCTAACACCTATTTGCACTATGGACTATAATATGTTATAAATAAAAGTAAAAGTATATTACTATTATAATCCACACTGCTGTTTTTTTTTTGTTTTTTGGTTTTTCTACATTTGAACTCCTCTTTTTTCTTTAGTTATTTTTTTTATTTAATTTTATATGATATATTTATAGGGATTTAGAGTAAATAATTTATTTTAATTTGTTTTTATATGGTTATTGCAATATAAAAAAAAATCTTAGTATCAAGTTGAAATTAGAAAAATATCTTTGCATAGTAGTATGGTCTATTTTTTACAAAATTTTAGTTAAATAAAAAAGAATTTTAAAAAAGAATTATTAAACTTTATGGAGTCAATAACTGGGTTTGCGAGTTTGACGAGATAACTTTATTTGCCCCTGTTTATGAGTTTAGTAGGGTACCTATTCTTTTTTTTATTCAATTGAATTTGATTATATGATCATCTATTTTATTTTATCATATAGTTAAAAAAATAGTTTTTAAAAAACATATTATTAAATTTTAGAAAGCTCATGGGCCCGTTAATGTGTATGGCAAGCTTAACTTTTCTTTTCTTTTTTGTTTTATATAAATTCATATTTTTTTAAAATTTTATCCTTTGATATTAGACTAATTGAGATTTAATTTTTATAATTTATTCGTTTTGTTTTCTATGAAGTTATCATAGTATTTTAAAAAGGTTTAAGTATTGGTTTGATGCTCGATTTTGTAATTGTCTGTTTTTTTATCCTTTAGTTAAATAAATAATAGTATAGAAAAAAAAGTTATTAATTCCAATGAAATCCATTACCTGATTTGCGGGTTTGACGTGTTGACCTGAGTTACTTAATTCACGGGTTTAGTGGGTTTATCTTTCAAATCTGATATATATTTTTTTTAATTTTATGGTCCTTTTATTTTTCTAATTTTTTTTTGATTTCACTCTTATTTAATATTAGATTGGTTGAGAAATAAAATTCATGATTTATTTTTTTCTATTTTCTATAGGGTTATTATAATTTTAAATAAATATTTTTTTAAGGTTAATACTCGATTTTAAAAATATCTAATATTATAAAAAAAATTACAAAACTAACAAACTCATAAAACCTATTGAAATCCATGATCCAAGTAGCAGGGTGATCAAAGTTTATCTAATTTGACATCGTCTTAATATAAAAAAAATATTATCTTAATTTTTTTAAAAAATATATCATGTTTTTACTAGTCATTTAAATTATTTTTTAACCCAAAATTATTATCTTAGTTTTTTTAAAAAAGTTATCTTATGTTTTTACTAATCATTTAAATTATTTTTTAACCCATTAAATTAATTAATTTTCTTTAAATTAACTTCTACATGGTTTAATTCAAAACTTAAGCTACACAGAAAGCTAGGTTAATAAATTTTAAAATCAAATTATTTGATTAAATTTAATAATATTATATAAAAAAATCTTCACACTCGATATTTTTTAAATTAAAAAACAAATAGTTCAATTCACCATGGAGCAGGGACAAATATACCAATAGAATCTATAAAAGGAGCGCGGACAAATGTACCAATAGAATCTATAATAAAGGGATACACAGGTCTTGCATATCTCTCTTTTTTTCAAATAAAAAGTCTTTCATTTTTCTTATAATAATGTTATCTTGCGTTCAATCTAAAGCAATATATGTAACACACAAAAAAAATATATATATATATATATATATATTTATCGTCTCTAAACTAATATTTGAAGAATCAACTTTTTAATCACTCAATAAACGAATACTTTATTAAAATATTCTTGTTCTTGGTGTTGCTGTTCAATCGTTAATAAACTAGGGAACGCAGGATGTCGGCAACTTCTCGTAAGTTCAATTAAATCCATGGCGGTGATTCTCTTATTTTTATCTATGTCCTTACGACGTGTCAAATTGCCGGGTCAAATATTTGGGCCAAAACTAGATCTGGTCCGTCACACGTGTGAACAAAGAAAAGTGGGTCCGCCCATTTTTTCTAGGAACCCTTCCTCATGATCATTGCATGTATGCCACGTGGAAAAAGATGGTTGGCGTCCACACGTGGGACATGACGGCAGACGCGTAGAAATTTAGAAAAACAACGGCACACAGGTGCCCGGACCCCAGACAAGTTAGATGATTCAATTCTCTCTGGTTTCTTAGAGTAAATTAATATTTAGTCTCTGGAGTTTTTGTTCATTTATAATCTAGTCCTTAATCCCTGAATACCTATAAATATAGTCTCTTAATTAATCTTGTTGACCATTATACCTTTAGAAATTCAATGGTTTTCCTCAACCAGTTTAGTTCATCAAATGGTAGATTTATGATTAATCATTTTATTTTTCAGTTTAAGTGCTTTTGAAAGTATATTTAAATCATAATAACACTTCCTTTTTTTTGGGTACTTTTTAATGATCTTAGTATGGGTTTTCAAAATCATTAATAAACATATAAAGAAATTTGGGCCTTTTCAGTCAAAGAGCACTTCTAATCTGATGCAATGGTCTCTATATAATTAATCAAATGATTAGATTACAGGTTTTCAAAAATAAAAGACCAAGTTGTAGTTCATTCATAAACCAGGGACTAAAGAGGAATTTACACATCTCCTTGCGACTACCAATTTAGATTTCGAAATCCATGCAATGCAAAGGAAAGCAGCAAAAGGTTTTGGTTGCTTGTTTTTAAGGAAAGCAGCCGCCACGTAGGCAGGTACAGTGTCTCGAAAGCCTTTCTTTCTGTCTCCTACACACGTTTCATCAAGAAAGGACCAGAATGTTGACAATATCCTAATTTAAAAAAACAAAAAAAAACAAAGACAAGGAGAAACCTAAGATTGAGGTAAATAATAATAATAATAATAATAATAATTTTCTTTATCGCGAGATGACCTAAGCGCGGATATCCTTTGCTTTTAGAGCAAGTTTACTCAAAGGGGAGATGTGCTTTCAAGATAATAGCTGGTACGTACTCCTAGATTAATATTAAATATCAATACATCATCAAATTTTAGCGATATAGGAGTCTGTAACATGCATAAATCTGCGTCGATCCATGACCATGTGTTAAAAAATAATTGGTTATAAAGCCAAAAAAGTTCTGAATGTGTTCAAAGCATGTTTGTTAGGCCCGATTTGAGGACTAACTTGAAAAACAACCTAGGTGGTATCATTAACCTGGTGAGTCAATCATATATTCTATTAAAAATTAATTTAACATGTTAAATTGAAATATATTTCAGTTTCAACATAACTTCTAATATTAATTTCAACATATTTTAATCAATCCAAAAAACAAATAACAATTTTAAAACTCAGAAGTTAAAATTTAAAAATATAATTCAAATATTTAAAATACAAATCATATTTAAAATATCAAATATCCGAAATACAACAACCGCAATTCATAATTTCTTTTAAAAATACAAGTTTCTTTGTTTTTGAATAATAGAATTTGGTGGGAGGAATATATTGAGATCTTGAGAGTTTAAATTAAATTTGATCAGATGATAAACTTTGGGTCAAACTAGTTTCATTGCATAAAAGCTTGGATGTTTTAATTAACCCTGGATGTTTCAATTAACAATCAAGCTTGAATCAGACTTTTCATCCTTAATTAATTCTTCAATTCAAATCAATTCATCGAGTCGGACCCGGTTAATCAACTATGCTTCAAAGTCCGTATATGCTCCTAGAATTGGCGTGGTTTCCAGTGGGATCAAAGAAGGCCAACATTCCTATTTATGAAAGATCGTAGTTTCAAAACTTAAATTAATCTACATATTGACCACATACGGGTCAAAGAAAAAATAAAAATGAGAAAAACTCATTGAATCCAATCAATAACTTGGGTTAATTTAAGAATTAAATTGATCTAAGAATTAAATTGATCCAAACCTAGACCGATCAAGTCATTCATCATGATCAAGTCATTCATCATGGACCTTGGACCTTTCTTCCGAGATATTTTTTGTTAAAACAATATTATTTTAATTTTTTTTGAAGAAAAAATGTTTTTTGGAGGGTTAAAATGTGACCCCGGATGAGATTTTGATATTTTTTTTAATGAATTTTTATGTTTAATATAATTTCCATTTTATGAAATAGCCCCCCTCAGAACCTTCAATAGAATTTCCTCGTAAGTAAATTACTGGAAGTATATGCATATATAAATTAATGGCCCCGCTGACCTTCAATATCTAACTAGCTAGAATTTCCCTCCTCCTGAATTAAACAACATTTCCTTTGTTGCTATAGATAGTATTGTTGCCTTCAAGGCTAAGTTTTATCTTATACATGTGAACATGATAATCAATTATATATATTTATAGAAATTACTCAAAACTATAAACTGTGTATATGGTTTTAATTCAAAATGAAAATGAAAGAAAAAACAAAAAGTAAAATAGCTGTTGCTTAAGGTGCGAGTTTGATACAAATGGCAGTACTAGAGACTGCAGCCCCCACCATCAAATAGCATTCTATCGTAAGCCTGACGACACGTAAACGCAATGTGAACTTAATATTTATGGAAAGCAGCCCAGCCCAGCCCAGCCCCCCAGACCTCAAAAAGAAAATAATAATAAGAAATAAAAAATAATAAAGGAATTTTTGATAAATCAGTTTCCGCGTGAGAAAGGAAAAAAAGCGAGATCATCAGTTCTGCTGTGTTTCGTTTTCTTTGACACCTAAGCACTTACAAAAGAAGCGAAAAAGAAAAAAAAAATGGAAAAAATCGTTATTTTCACACTTCCCTTCAGCGTTCACACCACCTTCTCATATATATCTTTCCTACCCTTTCTCTCTCTATCTTTTTCTTTCTTTCTTTCTTTCTTTCTTTGATCAAATCAATCCTTTCTTGTGGGTGTAAACTGATTTAGATTATTTTGTGTTTGCGTGTGTTTGTGTTGTTGTTATGGAGGGTCTTCACCACCACCTTCATCACCATCAGCAGCAAATACAGCAGCAGCATCACATCAGTGTAAACGTTGATACAAGTGATAGGTTTCCTCAATGGAGTATTCAAGAAACGAAAGAGTTCTTGATGATCCGTGCAGAACTGGATCCAACTTTCATGGAGAAAAAGAGAAACAAAGTTTTGTGGGAAGTTATCTCTAAGAATATGAAGGAAAAGGGTTATAATCGTAGCGCAGAGCAGTGCAAGTGCAAGTGGAAGAATCTTGTTACACGATACAAGGTGAGCCTATTTTTCTTAAAGAAGTTGAGAAATGGAAAAATCTAGCGAGATTACAAAATATATGTCTGTTGATCTGTTTTATTGAGTGATGAACAGTGCATGGAAAAAACAAAAACCCTATTAGCTATATATATATGTATGTATATATATGGTGTTTGATAGATGTTTCTCATCTTGTTGCGTAGGGTTGTGAGACGATAGAACCTGAGTCTATGAGGCACCAGTTTCCTTTCTATAATGAGTTGCAAGCGATTTTCACATCGAGGATGCAAAGAATGTTATGGGCTGATGCTGAAGGAGCGGCAAGTGGGTCGAAGAAGAAAGCAGTGCAGCTATCTTCTGACGAGGAGGAGGACAATGAAGAAATTAGCGAAGGAGAGAAGGGTAGCAGTAGAAAGAGGATCAAAAAGGGCAAGGCAGTTGGTGGAGCAAGTTGTAGTAGTGGAAATAGTAATAGCTTGAGAGAGACTTTGGAAGATTTCATGAAGCAACAGATGCATATGGAAATGCAATGGAGAGAAACAATCGAAGCAAGGGAAAATGAGAGAAGGATGAAGGAGATGGAGTGGAGACAAATTATGGAAGGAATAGAGAATGAGAGGACAACGATGGATAGAAGATGGAGAGAGATAGAAGAGCAAAGAAGGGCGAGAGAAGAAGCTAGGGCTGAGAAGAGGGACGCCCTTATCACAGCACTTCTAAACAAGCTTAGAAGAGAAGACATGTAGTGATCACCTTTCTTTTAATGTTTTTGCTGTTTTAGAGAAGAAGGTGCTTACAGAGAGGTTTGTCCTGAAACTCTCATTTTGGGAATTTTAATTATGTTCTTTGATTGAAACTTTTATGTTATGATCATCTCCTTTTTGCCAGCAGTGCCTCGAAAAGCTTCAATCTAGCTCTCCTTTTCATTATATTGCTTAATTATTTTGCTCTTGTGATCTTAATGATGAAGTTGTGTTATCATTGACCAGTGACTAAGTTTAAGCACATAATCTCAAAATCATCATGAACAAAGGTTCAAGCTTTAGGTAACAAGGTGGGGAAAAGAGCAAAATCTACATTCAACCATCCCACAAGCTCTAAAAGTTAAAGAGATAATGGTTGTGAAAGTAGGTAGCATATATCCTGTGCAACGCAATAAGCTCATCGTGCAGGTTGTTCTTAATGGTCCCATATTCCTGCTATGGCTCTCAACCTCAAGAAGGTGTTGCAACTTTCACTTACATGCAATATTGATAATCTATGCACAAAACATCTCGGATTTTTAATGCTGAAAGGTGTGCAGCTCTATCCAAGTCATTAACTGTATGCAACTTTCCTAGAAGTAAAACACTTGAAAAAGTTGTCAACAGCGTTTAGATGAAGCAGAAAAATTGGCCTTTTGTCCATTTCATTTGTACCTATATTTCTAATTGTTGGCTGCTAAGAAGTGGCCAGAATTAGATGTTGCAAAGGCACGCTGATCAATGTATTATATTTCTTGTTTCCAAAGATTGAACGAGGACTTTTTTTCCCTAAAGTCAAAGAAATGTGTACGACTTATTTTCACTGGTAGAATAGTGCCGCTGCCAGATCTCGCTTTAGAATTCTCAAGAACAAGAAAGGAAAATATTGAATATCAATTTCTAACATCTGTTCATCATCCCAATCAATTGTTTTCATGTGGAAGAGCTGGTAGGATTGGTGAACCGACAAGATACATGTTCATGGCTTGTAGAGAAGATTTTTGGCAGGGAAACCGACAGGTTAAGCTTCATTTGTTTTCTCCATCAACTGTCAACAGGACCATGAGAAAAGGTGCAAGTTTGAGACCCAGCCTCAGAGTCACTATAATTTGATATTTTGCCCTATATATATATATATATATATATATATATCAAGTTTGTTATATAAGAGCTACAGCTTCACAACTATGCTGTTTCCTTGTCTAATTAATATGTATTTTTGTTTACCTTCCCTTTGTTCCTTGATGTTGATGTGATAGGGCTTACAATATGGATGACATTACATGTATTATCTCTCTTTGTTATTTCTTAAAATTGATTTCATTTTGTTTTTGATGTTTGAACTCGTTATATATATGTATAGGGGCACAAAGAAGGGGACACATGGGACACATTTAGATACAAATTCATTAACTTTTCTATTTTTTGAACTTGAGACAACATTAAACTTGTTTTAAGATTATATGTGATTTTGTTGCAATTAATTAAGAATATCATATGATGTTAGAAGATTAATATAAAACTATTTTTAAAATCTCATTTAAAAATTTGAACTTTCAAGTTAATATGATTTTTTTTATATAATATCAAAAATTTCTTCGACTAATTGATAAATTTGCACAAATATTTTAAATTAAATTGGTTGTTTGATATATGATGTTATATATTACACCAATAATTAAGCCATTTGATATAAGTAGAATACTATTTCATAGTTAAAGGACTATTACACTTACATTATTGTTATAGACATTTTTTAAAAGCAAACAGACATAATATAACTATTAGCATAGAAAAAAATTATAAAATCCAAAATTGCCCGTGGAAAACTAAGAACACATAACAACAAAATGTGACTTGGACATAAAATTTCATGGATTGAAGATCATGAAAAACAGGCATTTTTTGAATGGTCTAGGAAATAAATCATAATGTGAACATACACGTATACGCAATTGAATAGCACTCGACACGAATCTTTTACAGGTTTTAGGCTAAATATATGATCTATAGTTTTCTAATACTATGTGTATATATATCCCAAAATTTTGATATTAGCACTCTTTTTTATCTCCATTCTTTCTATCTTCTTTTTAAATGTGGAATGAAATGGGAGTATAAAAAGATTTTGCACTAATTTCATCTTCCAAAAACTCATGTTGTTGGATCGATCGGTGGAAGGGTATTCAGCCTCGATAGAAACTGTTTCAGGACAAATTAATGGATTTCTATTTTTTTGGATGATGACAGATTTGTTCTATCCCTTCTTCCTTTCATAGCAATTCAAGTATATACTTTTTTATCTCACTATGTGGAAACCCACGAAAACTGAAATCATAATTCCCTGCACCTCACAGCCATTAATGATGCCTTTTGTACCTTTTTACTTTTTTCATTATATTTTTGTCACAAACAAAAAGGGTCATTTAATGAATAAATAAAATATCCATAGAGAGGTTATTTCATTTCTGTAAGCAAGTTTTTATATAAAAAATAACTCATCCACGTATGATCTAGTTAAAAATAATAGTTATTCATTGTTATTTTTTTAAATAATTAAAAAAATTACAATTGATCAACATTCAAGTTCTATAATTGTTCTATAAATTATAAGATTAAGATTTTAAGTATATGTAAACTTCTATCTCTATAATAAATAAATCATCTGTAGCAAGAAATGATGTTCTTCCCTATATACACATTTATTCATAAGTGTTTTGCAATATACAGGTTTTTTATTTTATTGCTTTCTTATAATTTAGCTTCTTTTTTTATATTTATTGATTTATTTACTTTGCTTTTTATTATTATTATAATCTAGTTTATAGTTTTAGGCATTGCACTTCTTTTCTGCTCTTAATCTGTTAAAATCAAGTGAAGAATTTTATACTCTACTTGATTATTCACTTAATTTGCAAAGTTGCTACTTGTCTAAATAACTAGTATATTAACCAAAAAATTAACGATTAGCCAACATTGAATCAATACATTGATTATCTAAAGATCAACAAATTGGCACACCTAGTGAACTAATTTATTATTTCAAAAAATTACTCCAGTGATCGCCAACAAATTTATACTTTTGATGGATAAATTCTTTAAAATAATATATTAGTTATGATGTTAAAAGAATCAAACTAAAAAAATATAGTTATAATGTCTAATGATTGGTCAATCCATGCAACCATTCTCATGGCCAAGAAGAATTAAAAAAAAAAAAATCCTCACAGAGCATAAAGATTGATAAATAAGTCTCCATTAGATGCATTATATAATAACTTTTTATCATCCAATTTTCTATGTTGTAACCTAATTTTGGCTTATTGATTTTTAATTTAATTTTACAGGGTTTAAAAAGTAAAATTAAAATATCAGAGATTTATTTTGATAAAAAATAAGATTTGTCAACTTGCATGAAAACTTGGAACTACAAAGTGCTTTTGTCATTCTATCTTTAATCTAAAAATAATCATTACCTTCAAGATAATAATAGTTATCTGCTTTTAAATTTGATTCTAAGTCGAACTTTAAAAAAAAGAATGAATTTGTTGAGACTTTACTTCTCGCAAATGATAGGATTTTTGCACTATAAATACTGATTTTAGTATACAAAGAAAAGAAAAAAGAGCAATCAAAGCAAAACCCTATAAGAAGAGACCCCAACAGGAGGCCATTACCAGAAACCCTAAAAGAGAGAAACATAAAAAAGAAAAGGGGCAGCGAACCCTATACTAGTCATCGCCCCCCTCAACCCCTCTATTTTTTGCTCAGTCTCCCTCGACTTCCCCTTCAGCAGCCGCACGCCTAGGTAAGTATCCTTCCTTCCTTATTAAAATAATTAACTAGTTACTGTTGCATGCATGTGTGAACCTTTCACGCATGGTTAGGCTAGATCCAACCCAAAAAAAAAAAGAGTTGGTCGGGTTTAGGCTTTAGGCCTAGCCGACCCAAACTGTGTTTGTTAAGGGTGTGTTTGGAAAAACACACCTTTATACCTTGATCATAATTTTTATGCCTATTTTATTTGGATATTTGCCTAAACGATCCCTTTTTCGACATCAGAAAATTTCAAAAATATTTATAAATCTTCATTGATTTATTTATGAGGCCTTCACATTTTATTTTATTTTTTTCTTGTATTTGTATTTTTTGTAAATGTGCTCAATATGTGGACTATTATTGTTAAACACAAATATATCGTGTAATATTTTTTTTAATTCCATCTAAAAATGATAAATAATAATAAAGGATAAACAAGAAAAAAAGGACATAAAAAATTTCTTTTTCAAATTTCTTTTTTACAAAATATTCATTGACGCCAGAGTTAGGAGTATCGTATTTTTTAGATTTGTGTGATATTAATCAACCCCAGAGTTTGAAATATTCATAGAAATTGTTCACTAACGATGGAGTCAGGAACATGAAAGGAAGAATAAAAAAGGAAAAAAAGAAGAATAAATTCTTAGTAATTTTAGACAAAACTAGCAATGCAGTCTGCCTTAGGTAGGATGCTTAAGGATTGATAACATCTTTTCTTTTGCGTAACCAATCCCGTACTATAGAATCTTTGTTGATAAGTTAGGGTTCCTAATGACCATAATACTAGGTGGCGACTCCTTAAACAAAATATTTTTCCCTAAAAGAACAAGATGCCAGATATTTGTTCCTTTTCCAATCAAAATTATATTTTTAATAGGTCACCGCGATATCCAGGTGTGACACCCTACATCAATAAAGAAGCTATGCATGGACAAATTTATATTGTTTATATATAATTTATAACATTTTCACTTTTCCCAACAAAAATATCTTTATCCAGTTATAATGGGTATGTTAATGTTTATATACATGCAACATAACCTTATGGTTATCTTGTTTGGGGACTTAATGAAATGATTAGATGGCAGATGACTATAATCAGTTGAATCAATTTATAATTAATCAACAATGTCTTTTCTTGAAAGTACATCCTTTTTATCACAATTTAAACCTATATAACATTAATTTAAGAGCTATTTAATTGGACATAGAAAATACACCAACATGATTTATAAAATAAATATATCACAAGCAATAAGACCATATAGGTTATAATCAATTGTTTCCATCAAACATAGAAGGAGCTCAGATAAAATCAATCAAGTGTTCTTTTTATTCAGATATCTAGAAGATAGGTCTTACGATAATAACAAGCTCGCTAATAATAATATTTAAAAGTTATTAGAATCATTCTAGATATCATATACCTGCATAATAAGTACTACAACAAAATCAACCTAATTTGAGCGTTGTCACCTATAAGGTACTACCTACCTTATAAGCTTGTAGACAACCTCAAGTCATCTATGTGACCTAACAATCATATCTATAATTAGTATAATCTATAATTGGATAGTTTAATGCCTTATAGGTTATATTATAGTAAGGCAATATCATTTTTCCAATACCTTAGAAGCCTATTATTAAACACCAAGCATAGGAAGGATTTATAGGGTTGAACCATCTTAACAATTAAGGAAAATGAGACTAGATGTTAGATGTATAGGTAGAACTATAAATAATCATTTATATCCTAAATGGATTGATAAATTGCATCCAATTCTAGAAGAATCAAGATATATGACTTCAAATAATCACTTTAAGAGGATAAATAGCAAATAAAAGAGCACATTTCCAAGTTCATTGATTAGTATGATGATGATGTTCGTAATCACTTTATGAAACTATGGTTATTTGATTCATTATCGACCAAAATTATCTTTCAATGATTCTTTACATTTTTACCTAACGTTATTAGTAGTTAAAAAGAGATGAAGGTCTATTTTCATAAGAAATTTTATAAAATTAAACTAGAAATAACACTGACTAACTTGGCTAGGATAATTCAAGTTCTAGGGGAGTCTATAAAAAGCTATGCTTTTTATTTCAAGACTTTAAAAACCATGTGAAATACATCTATAATAGAGCAAGTGTATATTAAATAAACTTTGGAAATGATGTAATGGACTATTAAAAAAATAAAATACAATGACCAAATATTAAAATAATTATGCTCTTATAGATATAAAAGATGTTCGCTAAATGAGTAAAACAAAGTTACTTAAAGGAACATACTTAGTTAGCTATTTAAATGAGGTAATG